GGCCAAAATTAACCAAAATTTCAACTTAAGGTAACAAAGTATTAGTACTTCACAATATTGAATCATTTTAACATTTTCTTCTTTGACAAGGCACTCTGGTTTCATTTAAAAGTGCCGATCATTAGATATTGTCCAAGATTATTCTTCAGGGTGAATAAAGCTTGCTCGCTGCCTCGCACAGACAACCTAGTCTACGTCAGCTTTGCAACATTAATAGAATGGCTACATCCCTGTGACAATATATTTTTTTAAAAAATATAAAAACTGAACTGTATTTTCACTGTCTTTATTTTACGGTTAAAATAAATGTTTATTAAATAATGTCTAATATTACAAGTAATCTTAGATCCCTTTAACACTCACCCTGATTAAGCTTGTAATCCTCCTTCTCTGTGCACTCAGAATGCAAACTCAAGCTGAACATTTCCTTTTCTACATGAATAAGCACGTTTATGATTCTCCAGCATTTACTGGAAATCACCTGACTATCTGTGCATCTGTTTTGACTGCTCAAAGGTCACTTTCTCACCTCACCATKAATAACTGGAGCTCATAAATCCATTTTCTGTCTGTTACATTTGTCCAACATGGAAAAAAACCCCATCTAAATGTTACATGTCAACCCCTTCAAACATTTATGGGGCGGCTGTGGTAGAGTGGTTAGGGATTCGTCCTGGAACCAAAAGGTCGCCGGTTCAATCCCCATCCAGTCGGCTCAGTCATTGTGTCCTTGGGCAAGACAACTTACCTCCTTGTCTACTGATGGTGGTCAGAGCATCTGGTGGCACCTAACTATGGCAGCCTCACCTCTGTCAGTGTGCCCCAGGGCAGCTGTGGCTACACTGTAGTTTGCCATCATCAGTGTGTGAATGTGTGTGTGCATGGGTGAGTGTCTGTAGTGTGAAGCGCTTTGAGTGTCCTGGATCTCCTGAAACGCACTATATAAGTACAGTCCATTTACCATTTTACCATTTTATCTGGGTGGGTGGGGGGTTTGGGAACACTTCAAGTGGACTGTCGGTCACAGGGTAAGATAGAATGTAGGGCAAAGATAACAGCGTCTGCTGTGCAGAAGAGTGGGGAAAAGAGGAGAGGTGAGGAACTTAATTCCTGTGGCAGAGCTGGTTGGGATATGATTAATTAACTTTGTCTATTTTCTAATTTTTTAACATCCTACATGCTCTGAGACATAAAATAAATTTGAAGCTGAGTTTAAAAAATAATTCCTTTCAGGGTCACAGGGGTCACTGGTGCCCATATCCAGTAGTCTATAGCTGTGTTACCATTGACAGTAAAATGGCTTTACAATCCCACCTGGGGACTCAAGAAACTCAGGTACCAGTTTGATGAGCTCAGGTATGAACTCGTTCTCTGGAGACATGGGTGAGAGCTTGAACTCTGAAGACTCTGGAGCTGGCTCAGACTCTGGAAGTCCCAGGGATTTTACAATCTGACCCGGAGGCTCTGGAGGAACCGGCTCTGGAGACTTAGGTGCTGGCTCTGGCTCTGGAGACTCAGGTGCTGGTTCTGGCTTTGGAGGCTCAGGCGACTCTGAGGCCAGTGAGGTCTGAACTGCAGCAGGCATGGAAGAGAGCTTGGTAGCTGCAGCAGGTGTGGAGACATCAGAGGACACTGCAGCTGGAGATGAAAGCTCAGCTGCAGCAGCTGGTGGTGGGAACACTTACCCTCCCGTAAGACCCTCCACAAAAGAGGTAGACCCTCGCCGGAGGGCAGGAGGCTGTAGAGGCGTCGACCCTCGTCAGAGTGCAGGAGGCTGTAGAGTCGTTGAACCTCGCCGGAGCGCAGGAAGCAGTGGAAGCTTCGAACTTCACTGGAGTGAAGGAGGTGGAGGTGTTGACCCCCTCGGAGGTGCTGACTTACAGGGACCTTCTTGGAGGCGGCACTGGAAGAGGTGGCATCCAAGACCCTCTCGGAGGTGGCACTGGAGGGCAGGAAACCATCAGCTCGGCAGAGCAGGGACCCATCGGCTCAGTGGAGCAATACCCAACTTACTCAGGGCAAAACAAGTCACTCTCGGGGTCGTAGTCGGGATCATAATTCTGGTTCACTCTCCGGAGGCATGGCAGAGCATGATCCAAATGGCTCAGGAGTGGCCGCTGTCTTTCTCCGGCAGCAGCGGCGGTGATGACTAGAGAGGGAGATTGGTGATGGTGGAGCAGTCCTGAGCGCTAGACGGATTCCCCAGAACTGAGTTTTTTGCCGCTCTTCCTCTTCCAACAACAAAGGTGAAGGAAGGACTTCCACCTTAAAACTGCATCTCCTCCATCCTTGTCTCTGAGCTGAACCTTTGCCGCACTCATTCAGCAAGGAAAAAAGGTTCTCCCTCCTGGCAAACTAAAAAAAAAAAACACTACCTCCTGGTGGGTTCGCAGTGTGGCTGGATCATTCTGTCAGGTTTTTTGCAAGAATGAACCCAGATCTGGACAGAGGATGAGTTCAAATAATAATATTTATTAAATAACAAAAAGCTGATAGGGCAGCGAAAATAACAAAATACCAGGAGCCACGGGGAAACACAGAGGACGAGACAGATGGACAAATACATGTAATGATCCAGCAGAGAATGAAGAGATGAGAAGAGTATTTATGCACACAAAGGAAGAGAGAAGATGAACAACAGCTGAGGAGAATTAATTAGAAACTACTGACAAGTGAGAGAAAACTGAACAGGTAAACTTCAGGAAACAGACTGAGGAGAGAGACACAAGGAGGACAAAAGAAGGAGACAAAAGAAAAGACACAAATCCCAACAGCTCCCAAGTATAAGGGGCTTGTCGCTTGAAAGCCTCGATAAGATGCCAACGTCTCCTCTGATGACTGATGATGATCGCTAGTGCCGTGGTAGATATATGAATATGTCTTATGTAAGTGTTTACATCCGTTGCCACCATGTTTGTAATGACTTGCAATGGAAATACAGTTACTGTGCYAGGAGCAGGGTACACCCTTGACAGGTCGCAAGTTCATAACCGGGCTTCTAATTCAGTAAAACCTTTTTTTTTTTTTTT